TTCATCAAAAAGAATATTCTTTTCTCCATACGTTTCATCTTCACCAGATGTACAATAATAAAAAAAGTGACAAAAATTTGATGTGTTAATGATTTAAAATAAAAAGTCTATAAAGTGAATGAAATTAAATTCTATGTTAAGAAACAGTCAGGTTAGATGCGTAGGATTTCTCAAGTCCTTTACAGGTTTAAAATCACCAGGAATATAGACAAGCTTATTACATAACAGCAACGTACATTCTTGATTAAGATAAAGCACACTTTTTGAGAGATGAACTGTTAAACTTCTTCCTTTCCTCTATAAAAAGGACAGCTCTTTTTCTAACCCTCCGTGCGTCGATATTCAGGGAAAGAACCGTTGAAATTTCTGCCCACTTGCCTCTTTATTTGAAAGGATTCCTGCTGATTACCTCTCTATCAACAAGAGATGTTTGTAAAACACTTATGCCCTCCCCCCCCCCCCATTGGAATTTTTCTAAGTCCAAAAGGGCACAACTCTATCAAAAATGGCACAATCTTACCCAAAACAGAACTTGACCTAGATATTCATCTGATAAATCTGTATACTAACTTTCATTTCAGTATGTGCAACCTCTGCGAAGGAAATGAACGGAAACTGCAAATAATTGGAATTGTTCTGAGTCCAAGGGGTATAACTGTCAAAAATGGCGCGATCATATCTAAAACAGAACTTGACCTAGATATTTATCTCATATACCTCTATACCAAAGTTCATTACAGTATATGTCCAACGGTTGTGAAGAAAATGAACGGAAACAGAATCAGTCACCCACAGCCATATATCCCAGTGGTCCTTTTCACAAAAAATCTTACGACTAAGACTAAAATTTACCACTCGGTAATTTTTCATTACATAAAGATATTTCTGTCCAAATATTTGATTAAAATGTAATCATAAAATAATGCAATAGAAAGTTAATGGGTTTTTCAGCTTAGATATAATTGTTGTAAAATGGGAAAAAGTTTTAGTCTTAGTTGTAAGATTCTTTGTGAAAAGGTCGCCCGCGTGGCGCAGTGGATAGAGCGTCTGCTCTAGAGTCGCGAAGTTAGAGTTGATCCTTACGTCGCGGGTTCAAATCATACTGTGTGACATGAAGACCAGTCTTTCGGATGAGACCGTATAAACCGTGTCGCAGTAGGTGCTGGCATGAAAAAGAACCCTCACTCCTCAATGGTTCTGAGTGCCGAGTATAGGACAAAATTTGCAGCTTTCCACCGACAAGTGTATACAAACATGCTTCATAGAATGAAATGACTTTGTCCATCACTGTATTTACAGATTTTAGCTTTCCCTTCAAAACTTCGTAAAGTCTATCTCTTCCGCCTCTCTGAAGGGCCAATTTTAAATGATTCTCCTGCAAAAAACGAGCTGCCCAAGTAGAACTTTGAACCTTTGTTAGAACGTCTGAAGTTACCAGATCATGAAAACTTCCTACGTTTTTGTTCTTATTTCATTGATAGCTTTTTGATGTTCATGATGACATAATCAGAAGAGAAGACTAACTCTGAGAGTGACTGTTTTTCAGCAAGCTTTTCAACATAGAAATATCATTTTCAGCATAATGTACATTCGTAGAATGATCAATCAAATTCTTGAGCTAATGATTTGGCCAAATCTTGAAGCTTATATGATGGTTGACTGGGTTGCTGCAATAACGTAGCCCTCTCCGATTTTTATTTTAGTAACCACGGCAACACCGATCACCGAAATCAAAAACTGATATACGGAATTATGTATCTTAGTGTAGACTACTTGTGTGCAAAGTTATATTGAAATCAGACCAAAATTGTTGGAGGAGTAGATTTTTGAAAACAATTGCTTACAGACAGACGGACGGACAGACACATTACTATCGCATAAGCTCTTCTGGTCTCTGACCAGTAGAGCTAAAAAATTTACATTTGAAATCATAAGAAGTATAATTATGGGATTGCCCTGCTACCTCCGGTCACATGGTATACGTCATAGCACCTGTTGTGACGTGTACATATCCTCTCTCTCTCTTTTCTGTTAGCATGCGGAGTGGGCGGTTGACCGCATTCGAGGGGAAATGGGTCAAGTACAGGCCTGAGGGGGAGCTAGGTCAAGTCACCCGCAGGGTAGATACGCTTGGTCAGAATATGAGAGCCTTGTGGGGGATATTAATGTCCTTGAGACCAGTATGTCAGCACAGGTAGGGTCTGTGGAGAAAAGTATGGGGGGGGGCAGTTAAGTAACATCACCCAGATGCTGGCTGGCATGATGAAAGTTAGCCAGCCACAGTCACTTCCATCTATGTAGGAAGTCAAGGTCAGTCAGCCAGTAGTGACTAGTAGCCAGGGGAATCCTTGGGTCCCTAGTACACTACCCAGACATGATATACCTGCAGTGACCTCAGCAGTGTCCGCACATAGTAGAGAGTCTTCGTCTGTTTCTGTGGGAGGACATAGTGTTAGTGTGTCTCAAGGTCATTCCCTATCGTCGCTCGGCAGTGACAGTTAAGCCTCGGGACTTCCGAGCACCTTTACTTTGGGTTCATTCGAGTCAAGGGGGACCGCCGATTACCCAGTGTTTCCCAGCACGGGCCCACCGGTCCCGGGTCATGTTGCGTGGTGCACCCGAATGGGTACTTACGCGACCGTTCCCTTAGCGTCCGTGCATCCTAGTGTTGTTAACTCGAGTGGTCAGGGCGCTGGCCACTATGGAGGGTTGGTTGGGCAGTCAGCTGCATTAGGGGGTAGTACGACGCTCGTACCTAGTCATGGGCATTGCCTCGTACAATTCAAGGTCATACGTTAATGACCACCGCGAACCGAAGTCAGTTGCCGAGTTTGCTTCCCCCGGGAACCAGAAGTTTTGTCAGTAAAAACATTCCAGCCGAAGTTAAAGGGGGTTAGATATAACGGGGATGTCGAGTGGGGTCCGTTTTCCACTATTGCTGAGTACCACCAGTGGAACGATCCCGACTCTCTGTTTGCCTTAACTTTCACGCTCGAGGGGACAGCCCTGAAATACTTTGATATCCTCAGGCGACGAGGCGCGCTGCTACGTTTTCGAGAAGTAGTTCTCCGGATGGAGAAGAGGTTCGGTAAAACTTCTCTGAGGGCCGCCTCACAGCTGGAATTGAACTCTATTTGCCAACGGGCGGACGAGGCTATAGAACAATTGGAGACCGTTTATGGAAACTGCCCAGAATGCGTTTGGTGGCGGAACTTCACCGGAAGTTTTTCCAAGAGCAAGTAATTATTCGTTTTGCTCTGGGGTGTAATGACGGCGAGGCAGGGCAGCAGTTAATTAATAATCCCCCGAGTACCTTAGAGGACGCGATTAAACGTGTGAAAACATACCAGCTTAGTCGGCCGAGAGCGGTTAGATATCTATCTCGAGACGGTCAGAATGACCGTAGTCAGTCACCGCGTCAAGGTCATTACCGAGAGAACTCGGATTCTGAGTCTCGGGATCATTGCGTCGCACACAGGGAGCGCACTGATCCAAAGGACCGTTTTTGCGTCGCGCACAGGGAGTGCACCGAAACAAGTGACTGTTACGTCGCGCGCAGTTCGCCTAAGGGACATTCAGTCAGTTATAACGGACGCTCTGCTCTTAACGATCGACGACGCACCAGCAGGGACCGTGCCGAGTCACAGGACCGGGACTCATATAGATTATCGCATTACTCCAGTGACTCGGGTGACAGCACCACGGGTTCCAGTCCCAAGCGTGGATCCTCAGGGGAGCCGTCGTTGTTAGTAGGGGACGTTCTCGTGCGTCGAGGCCAGTTATATGTTATGAATGCCAGGAGCCAGGGCACTGGCGTAGCGACTGCCCGATCCGCGAACGCAGACGTAGATTGGGTACTCCTAAGCCCCGTCTTAAGTCCAGTGGTAGTAGGACCACAGACAAACAACGTGCGTCAGATCTAGGGACCAAAATATGTTCTATCAACTGAATGTGAATGTGACCTATGTCATATCATCCGTTAGGTCCGGTAGTCAAACCATCGGTTCAGGTGTGTGGCGAATCCCAATACAAATAGGAGGATATAAAGTAAACGCAACCATTGATACAGCAGCCGACATCACGATAATTTCAAGCGAAGTATACAGATCTTTGCAACCGCAACCCGAGATTGTTTGGGACGTTAATGTTAGGCTAGCTGGCGAGGGAGCGGGTATGACTGCTCACTACCACGGGAGTCTGTGTATGCGCATCGGGGGAATATGATTTTATACACCCAATTTTTGTTGGCCCCTTACAAGACGAGATGTTACTGGGGATCGATTTCCTGCGTACGCATGGCGCAGAGTTTTCCTGTGAAGCCGGTACTTTAAGGGTCAAGGGCATCGGGGCTACCTTTGCCTGTGCTGATGCGACAGTGCCAGTGCTCGATGCGGTTTCAGTCCGCAAAGTGCGGGTTTCCCCGCGCACTACCCAAGTTATCGAGTGCGCCCTTAATGTGGAAATGCCAGAGTTTATGGTGGAGCCTGCCAGCATTTTTCCGCCTGGTATTGTGGATTCGCGAACATATAACAGCAGGAGGCAAAGCCAAACTATGTATACTGAACCTGACGGACAGAAGTCACATAATCAAGACTGGTACTAAGGTAGGGGAAGCTGCCCCTGCTCTGTCTGTTAAGAGTACCGATCCCACAGTGCGTCGTATGTCAACCGAGGGGGCACAGTTATAAACATATTGCCCCACTCCTAGAACAGTTTGGCAAGGCGCGCATATTGCCCCACTTCTAGAACAGTAAGCTTAGACCGCGCCTGTGGAAGTCAAGTCTCAGGCTGCGGAACTAGTTAGAATTTGACGACGTCTTTGCTGTTGATGACCTTGATCTCGGGTACTTCTCCGATTGATTGATTGTATACTGTTTAACGTCTCTCTCCAGAATATTTCACTGTGTACTTCTCCGAGATCAAGCACCGAATCGACTGATATCGCGTCTCCTGCAAACAGCGGATGCGTCGCACTCCTGCTGTATTTCAAGGGGAGGAGGATGGTCATCTCGATAAGATGTTACAAGCCGGAGTCATCCAGCCGTCTTCCTCAGATTGGGCGCCCGCCCCAGTTTTGTCAGGAAGAAGGATGGCAGTGTATACGCTGGTGCATGGATTATAGAGCCCTCAATACGGTGACGGTCAAGGACACGTACCCTTTGCCGCTTATCGAGGAGTGCATGGACACTCTGGCGGGAAACCGCTGGTTCTTTAAGCTAGACACTAACGCGGCTTACTGGCAGGTCAAGATAGCTCCGGAAGACCGGAAGAAGACGAACGAAATATGGACTATTAGAGTTTAGTAGAATAGGGTTCGGTTTGTGCAATGCCCCTGCGACCTTCGACAGGGCAATCAATTTGGTGTTGCACCGACTTAACTGGAAAATTGCCTTAGCTTTATTACACGATATCCTAGTTCTTGGATCTTAAGCACACGCTCACCTTTTTAACTTACGCCAAGTGTTTGAGCGGTTCCGAGCGTATAGTCTCAAACTAAAAGCTCGAAAAGGTAAACTGGTTAAGACTAGGGTCGAGTTCCTTGGTAGAACCGTAAGCGAGCACGGAGTGAAAATAGGGGATCAGTGTATTGAGTAGGTGCGGGACTGGCCTGTTCCATGTGATGTTAAAGGAGTAGACCGTTTTCTCGGCTTCGCCAATTACCACCGTAGCTTTATCCCTCACTTCCCCAGAATTGCGGCTCCGCTTCATGCAGTTACCGGAAAGAGCGGTTTCCGGTTGGGCGAAGAGCAGCATAATGCTTTCGCGGAACTCATCCAGTTAATCACCACACCTCCAGTACTCGCCATACCTAACAGTACAGGTCATTTCATCCTGGATACTGATGCCTCGGATCATGCCGTAGGCGGGGAATTAAGCCAAGTCCAGGGTGGTAGAGAAAGGACAATAGGTATGGGAGTGCTGTGCTATCCGCAGAACAGAGCAGGTACTGCACCACCCGTAAGGAGTTGATAAAATTTACAAGACAATTTCGCCACTACCTGCTGGGTAGAGAGTTCATGGTCAGGACAGACCACCATAGCCTGGTCTGGCTGATGAATTTCAAACAGCCGCAAAACCAGATCGCTCGATGGCTGGAAGAGCTGAGCCAGTATAATATGCTGATCGTACACCGCCTGGGCAGGAAACGTGAACGCTGACGCGCTATCCCGGAACATACCCGACTCATGCCAGGGATACTCGACAAAATTAAGGTCTAGGACTTCCCATGCGGTGGATGACGGTATTTCCGCCGAGCCCACGAGCGCTGGCATAACTTCAACACCGAAATAGACGATGTGAATCCATTGTCCAAACTCTTTAACGAAACGCCGGTGCCAGCGGAAAGTTCGTACGCTGAGGGGAGTATCTGTGATTCGTTAGATCCAATTCTCCGACAAGCTATTATTTCTAGTTCTTGGGAAGATACTCCTTTGACCGTGAGTGCTTCGGTACTTTCCGGTTTTCAGATTGATGTCATTGGGGTGTCGAGTTTAGATCCCAGTTTAGATTTGATGAGGCTGATCCTCAAATTTGTCAACTTTCAGGTGTCACTGCGGGAATTTCTCTACCTCTTACAGTTCCGCAGATTTAGCTCAGAAACAGGGAAATGAGGAGGCTGTAGTATACCCGAGACAGTACTTAGAGTCTGGGACTTTACCTACAGAAAACGACAAATAATCATCTTCCAGAACGTGACTGTTTCTATCTCGATGAATCAGGTGTTGTTTGGCGAAAAACCTATGAATCGGATGCATCCCGTCGGCTACTCGTGCCACGGAGTCTCCGATCCGAGGTCATGCACCTATGTCATGACATTCCGTCCTCCGGTCACCAGGGAATTCAGAGAATGAAGGAATATCTTAAGCAACAGTTCTACTGGTGACGCATGGTCAAGGACGTTAAGTTATATGGAACTTGCGATGTATGTTCTAGAAACAAACGGGGTTCCATGCCGAACAGATCCGAACTTAAGAGTTATCAAGCCGGAAACCTGATGGAGAAGTACATCTGGACTTTCTCGGCCGCTTTCCCGAACTGATAGCGGAAATGAGTATATTCTCATGATGGTAGATAACTTAACCAAGTGGGTAGAATGTATTCCGCTTCCGTCACAGACAGCGGAAATTACTGCTCGCTCCGCTATCAATGACATGCTTTTCACGATTTGGCTACCCTTACAAAATCTTTACAGATCAGGGCCGAAATTTCGAAAGCGAGTTATTCTGTAAGGTTTGTGCCATGTTAGGGATCCACAAAGCTCGGACCACACCTTACCGTCCTTCAGGGAATGGCCAAGTAGAGCGCTACAGACGCAGTTCGCTCCTACGTCGATGGTCAGCCCAAGTCTTGGGACAAATACCTAGGCCCATTGACTGGAGCATTGCGGTCGGCAGTCAATCGCCGTACCGGACATACTCCAAATTGTCTAATGCTAGGCCGTGAATGAATATTCCAGCCTCCTTGATGTTCTCCCCAGCACCTTCCACACCTCTTCAAAATTGGAAGGAGGGTTAGGTTGACCGGTATGTACGACATCTAGAAGAGAATGTCCAGAGCGCGTACGACATTGCCCGTAAGAAACTGAAGGGGCACAGAAGGCAATGAAAAGGTCGCATGACATTAAGATCCGTACCCGCAAGTTCGAGGAGGGCGATTTGGTGTATTGGCGCCGCAATGCGGGAAAGAAGGTAGAATCTATCTGGAAGGGTTCTGGGGTTATTATAGAAGCCAAATCTGACACAATATTTGTTGTCAAATCTCGACGAGGTCATGGTCATGCACCATGACAAGCTTAAAAAGTGTGAGGCCAGGCAACTTCCCAAGTGGTTAGTTTACTATCAAAATAAGTTGCCCGGACAGTCAGTAGACTGAGATGGGGATAGTTCTCTTGTACGCGACGGGGTTAGGCCACTGGGGACCGCAGACTCAGGACTAAGTCCTGAGGATCCTGGAAGTCGGGGTAAATCTAATGTCAGCCCCAAACCAGAGGAAACAGTAGGTCCTTATATGAGAACCCAGAAACGGGTACGGGAAAGGGCAGGACAATCTGAGAAGCCCACATCACCTAAATGACCTAAAGCCACTAAGGGGACGAAGACCCGACAGTATTGTGTCTGTTTACAGTCAAATCCTAAGGGGTTAATGGTCCAGTGCGACAGCTTCCGAGATTGGTTTCATCCTGTGTGTGTGGGTATCAGTGAGGATTATGCTAAGACAGTGCCTCGATATATATGCCCCGAGTGCAGTCCCGTCGGTGTCGGTCTTGACTAGATTAGGGAATGGTGCATCTTTCGCTAGCCAAGGGTGACGATCCACGGTGTTTCTCTATTCACCCTTGGCAGATTTAGTAGCTTTAACCGCGCCGCCTATCGGTTTGTAAAGAGTTACGTGCCTTAGCTTTAATAATTTTTATCCAATGAAAATCCGTCTTACTCTCATACTTGATAAACATGGCGGCCTCTACGAAACGTGTAAACAGAGAAGCTGAAATTTGTAGTCGGTTCCATTTAGACTCTATAACAGAGACGCAGAATAGAAGTATACTATCGCTTCAACAAGGACGTGACGTGTTCCTGAGTACGAGAACTGGTAGTGGAAAATCACTGACTTACGAATGTTTCCCACTTGTATACTAAAATACATGCGTGTTAGTTATTGCACCTCTAATTAATATTATGACTGAACAGTGTACTAAATTAACAAAGCTCGGTTTTAAGGCAACATACATTGGAAGAGATTCTGTGGAGAACACTGAAATAGAACGTGGATCATATGACTTTGTGTATGGAAGTCCGGAGATGCTCCTAGCAATAATAATAAGTGATAAGTAATAAGTGGCGTGAGATGTGGAAATCAACAATTTACCAAGAAAAATTAAAGCTGATCGCAGTAGACGAGGCGCATACAGTTTTACAATGGTACATTTATGAATTGTTCATTTAATACTGCAATTACACACTATTAAAAAATCGTTAATCGTTATGGATTAAAAGTGTTGGATGTCTACAATCCCTTTGAGTATAATACATTAGTAGAGCTAAACAATTGACCACATTTCGGTAGGGAACACTTCATAGAACACTTGATAGACAAATTCAATTTTCTAGTTTCCACAGGTCTGTTATGTTTTAAAATGACACGATGTTGTAGTACATAATTTTAGGTGCTATTGGTGCACTTCAGTTTCAATGATTACAAGGCTTATAACATGATTAATATTATGAACACACCAATAACATATTAATTATCATACTGACTATGAATTGATTTTCTTTCCCCAAAGTTTCAAATGAACTAATCATTGTGAGACATATCAAATAATTCTTACATGTATAACAAAGTAATTATTAGATCCCTGGGAGTTTGCTGTATGACTTTCTCCATGTACATGATATTAATGAAGTAATGTAGTATACTCGGACAATATTGCAGTAATCAAATTGAGACTGATTCCTTTAATAAACATAGCAGTATGTGTACATTACTAATACATATTGTTGATTTTTATTTCCAGGGGTGAAGGTTCTGATCAAGAGGAACCATTTAGGGAATGGTTTTCACAGATTGGACAGTTGAGGTCATTATGCCCTGAAGTACCACTTGCTGCTCTAACAGCAACTTCAGGGCCCTCAAATAGGAGAAAGATAATGAAGATGTGTTTTCGTGCAGGATGTGAAGTTATCACAGAGAGCCCCGACCGACAAAACATTAAGATATCATCTCTTCAAATACCAAATAATGACAATATTGAGTCTACATTCATGTGGTTGCTGAATGACTTAAAAACATTGAAAGAAAAGCTTCCAAGACACATTATATTTTGTGAAACAATATCCACAGTTTCTAAAGTGTATGCTACTTTTTACAAGTTCTTCAATGAAAATAAAGAACACTTTGAAATGTATCACAGTAAAACACCAGACACCAAAAAAGATGAAATCCGAGTGGATATGGCTAAAGATGGACGTATTCGAATACTAATCTGCACAAATTCTGCAGGAATGGGTGTGAACTTTCATGGGACAAATAACATCATACATTATGGATTGCCAAGGGAAATGGACACATTTGTACAACAGATGGGACGCGGAGGACGGGATGGATCATTAGCCAATGAACTTGTCCTTTACAAGGCACATAAAGGTCACTTGAAAAATGTGGAGTCTGACCTTGTCAAATTATGTAAAGATAATGCAGAATGTAGACGCAAGTTATTATGTGAAGGATATGTTCATAAAGCAGCAATCATAATTCCATTGCACAACTGTTGTGATATTTGTGAGCGAAATTGTGAATGCGGTCATGCAGAATGCCCAAGAACACACCCTGCATTCGACCAACATTCTGAGGATGCTGGTTCAGATGAAGAAGAGATGAAAAGGAACACCAATGAAAGTGAGAAATCACTGTTGCGTCATAAACTCAATCTGCTTGAATATGAGCTTTCAGATTTTCATTCAACACCGATGATAACAGATGTGATCTGTGGACTGACAGATGAGGTGATTGACAACATTGTGAAATATTGTGACACATTATTTAGTCCCGATGATGTCATGCGAAAATTTCCCATATGGAACTATGACATTGCAATTAAAATATGTTCAATTATATCAGATGTCTTTGGGGATACAGATATGTATACAATTGATGAAAGTGAGGATGATTTTTAACATGTTGCAAAAATGGGAAAGTGTACCTCCTATATTTTTTAGATTTGTTACATGAATTGTTCTTGATGATTGTTTGATTTTTAGGTCACCTGAGTAAACTCAGGTGACCTATTGCTATCTGTTTTCGTCCGTCGTCGTGCGTTGTGCGTTGTCCGTTAACATTTGAACATTTTCAGCTTCTTCTCTGCAACCACAGAACCAATTTCAACCAAATTTGGCACAAAGCATCTATTGGTGAAGGGAAACAAAACTTGTGAATTTCATGATCCCTGCCCCCCTGGGGCCTGAGGGGTGGGGCCAAAACCACTAAAATTAATGCAATCTTTAAAAATCTTCTTCTTTACTCCTGGACATCAAGTAGTCAAACTGTTTGCATGATTGTAACCAGCAATGAGTCCTCTACCAAAATTGTGAAATTCATGGCCCTGGGGTCAGGGGTTCTAGTCCTAGGGCGGGGCTAAATAAGTAGGTAGGGAAAATGCATTATTTCTTTGAAAATCTTCTTATCTGCTCCTGGGTATTAAATAAACCAACTAAGTACATAGTTATGATGAGCAAGGCACTCGACCAAAATTGTGAATTTTATGGCCCCAGAGTCAGGGGTTCTGGTGTTAGGGCGGGGCTCTATTGATTATATAGTGAAAATACATGAATTCTTTGAAAATCTTCTTCTCTGCTCCTGGGTATTAAATAAACTAACTAAGTACATAGTTATAATGAGCAAGAGTGCCTCTACCAAAATTGTGAATTTTATGGCCCCAGGGTCAGGGGTTCTTGTTTTAGGGTGGGGCTCTAATGATATATAGTGAAATGCATGATTTCTTTGATCATCTTATCCTTTGCTCCTGGTTAACATGCTAATGATCTAATTACATATTTAAGGCCAGGATTTATTTTATTTTCAGTTTTACAAACCCTCCGCTCATGGTTTTGAATTTTCAGAAAAAAATTTAAAAAATTCTTTCCGATGTCAAATTTGAGTCGGGATCGAGATTTCAAATTTACGAACTCGCACTTCCGGTTTTACAATGAAACGGCAGGTAAATAAAGCTGAGAAATTCATCGATAAGAGTGCCATTCAAAACGTTTCACCCGTTCAAAGGACAAATAAAATGCTGACGACTTTGTTGCACAATATCATGCTGGTGAGATAATTATGTATTCGTTTCAAAAGTAACTGTCTGTAAATTATTTTCCTCCCCCAGGTTTTAAACTGCCCGTGGTACCTATTGCATATTGCCAGCGACATTGTGTAGGTCTCTGTTATAGCTTACACTCTAAGCATCATTCTTCAGAAAAGGGTTGCTTATGCATCAGATGTAATGAATATAATGAATAAAACTACGGGAGAAGTTAAGTCCATTTGAGGAAGAAATAAACAATAACTTGAAGAAATAAAAAGAAATTCAACTATTAAAAGGCAAGAATATACAAATATATACAGGCATATAGTATCATTTGTATCAGCCAGAAAAATTATTTTACACTTAATTGAAAAAATGTTCACCCTACTCCCAAATACTCCCTGTCTGTTTTATGATAGGAATTATAATTTTAGAGATCAAGTAAATTTTAGAACAATGTCTACACATTCACCTAACACATATTCAAAAAATGAAGATATATTGAAAGACTTCTAAAGAATTGATTTTTTAAAATATATTTTGATCAACATCACAAAATTCATATAACTGGCCCAAACTGGCAGATGATGAAATAAGCAATTAAATGTTGTACTTTCCTATTTGTAAGCATTATGTGTCCAGTGGTAAGGAGCCTATTAGGATAGCATAAAAAAAGAATGTACAAATGTTAATAATTGATTTATCAAAAAAAAAATTTATTTCCTTCTCCTTTGGGACTTTTTTGATCTCATGTTCAGAACTAAACCTAAACATTAAAAAAAATGCTGGCCTTATAATGAAGAAAGGGGCCTCTTTCAAAATAGATAATTTTAGGACTGCTGGGTCAGGGGTACCAGGGGGCACTTTGACTAAAAATAAATTAATGCTTTGAAATCTGCCCTTTGATAAGCAATGGTGCCTCTTTCAAAATTTGTGAATTTCATGGCTTTTGGATTAAAACACGAACCAAATACAATTGCTGGAAAGTTGTTACACGATACTCAGGTGATCTATAAGGCCCGTGGGCCTCTTGTCTATAATACATTTGAAATAAACTTTGTCTCTTTCAGTGATTTGATTTTATTAATGGTCTTCTCATAAGAACATGAAATGCAGATACCAAAACTACTTTTATCATTAGTGCACAAATTTCTCATTACAATATACATACATTTCAAGTACTCGTAAAATCATTTGCAACATTTGAAATAGTCTCTGCAAATTCAATAAATGAACCTGACATCGTTCAAATTAGATTATAATAACTTTCTTCAAAAAATTCCTAATATCATATCTGGAATGGACAACAATATTTCATTACTACCGAATTAAAGTGTTTCATAGCTTAGTCTTTCTTTGTTTTTAGTTAGCCATTTATGAAGTTCATCAACTTTGATATTCAAGAACACGTCTTTGAATCCAGTAAATGACGGATATTCGCGTCCTGGTACAATGTCAAAGATGGAGACAAGTTCGGAAGCCATAGCAGAAATGTCCACTAGTTTTGATACGGGTGGGCGTTTCTTTCCACTTTGTTTTTTGTCGCATTCATTTTGAATATTGTTCTTGATTTCATCTTGGACTTGGATGGCAAGTGTGGCTTTTCTGACACTTAGAAATGTTGCGTTGGCTCCTTGTGCATACACAGCTTTTTTCACAGTTTGTACAAGTAATTCTACCAAATTATCGCATGGAATGTTGTTACCCAGACCGCCTTGCAAATTGGCAGAACAGTTCCACTTATACTCATAGGCCATTCTCGGGGTAAGAAGACAGAGACAGTTTGCCATGTACCGAAATAACCACAGTTGATATTTGGTATGATTTCCCGCCCTTGATAACAGCATTTGAAATTTCGAATTGCTGAGAACTCTATCGCCATCACCCATTTTGTAAGCATCATTTGTATCGCGTAATAGGAGGGCGCATTTCATAAAAGATGCGTGATATATCGCAACGTGGTCCAATTTGGATGATGAGTCGTCAGGTTCTCCCAGATCAGCCATTCCATGTTCCTTTTGCAAGTGTTTTTTCATACCAGTCAGAGTTTTGTACTTCCTATTACAAGGTTGGCAAATGAATTTCTTCACGTGATTGTCGTACATAGAATTGATGTGGTTGACTTGTGCATCAAGTGCCTGAGCCTTCATAGAGATGACATTCAATCCTAAAAAAAAGAGAGTGGTTTGTTATCAAGAAAAAATGTCAATTGAGAAATTAAAATTACATGAGATATATGATCCATAAACTATAAGAAGGACATAACTATACATGTATTACCATCGGATAATTTAATGTATCGATCCAAAATCCCTCGTGCAATGGAGTATATGAACTGTCGCTGTTCTTCATTAGGAAGAGCCTCAAACAATGACTGTCTGAGATTAGAATCTTCCTCAACATCTTTTATCTCCAAATACTTCAGTGCTGCTGCAACTAAATGTGCATCAAGGCAGTCTTCCACGAATGCAAAGTGTGATCTGCAATTTGTTTTAAATTGTAATGAACACAAAAGAGCATTTATGTAGATACATACTGTTTACTATAACTGTACAGTATTTTAGGTGCATAAGGCTAATAATAAGTCAATTTAGTCAACTGGTACAATTACTATTTTCTAAACCTCCAATTTCTTTTTATCACAAACATTTTGTCAAGTTGTCTTTTTTGTGTCATGTCAGACATGAATACATGTATATTTACATGTGTATTTGTATACCGGGCATTTAGATATATAGTACATACCTGTATTTGCCAATCACTTCTTCTGCTCCTTGGACATCAATTCTTCCGACTCGGTTCCTAAGGTATGACAGACTTCCTCTATCTCCTGCAGATGATTTCTTGTAGAAAATTTGGTAGATGAACTATTGAAACAAAAACAATTTACAATTACATTTAACATTTAAGTTCAACCAACAAAACATGATGAAACATCTGTAACACATGTGAATTTTTTCATAAATGCATATATACCAGTAATCAATACATGAATGTCTTTAACATTAAAATAACAATGCATTAAAAATTTTATTCAGGTAAATTTAAAAATAAGTTCTTGGATTACTTAATTGTCCTACTAAAAATTTTATACTAAAAATCTACAGTAATTACATATGATGGTGAGTAAAAACAAAACAAAACAGTTGTTAGTATGAACATAATGAATAATGAATGAAACAAACAAGATGCCTCTATCTACACCACCCACCATAGTATAATTTACTTGAATGATAGATGAACTGACGTAGTATCAAAAATGGAATAGGAAGTTTGAAAATGCATTGTAGAGTTGGGTATTGCGAAGGAAAACCATATTGCGATATATTGCAATATTTTACTTTGAATATTGCAATATATTGCAATATATTGTAGATTAATTATCATTAATAAATTTGAGCAGAATGTTTGAAATGCTGTCAAGTTCAAAGACTATTTGAATTTATCGTTAAGTTTAAAAGCGGGAGGAGGGATAAGGCATTGATTGCACACCAAATTAACACTTTACTTTTAATCAAATTCCAGGTAAAATAGTAAAATAAGATGAAATCTCTTGGAGAATTTTCACATTGAAATAAAAAATTTTACAGATTATATAATCTTTTTTCATTGAATTTTTTTTTTGGGGGGGGGGGGGGGTTAATGAAATAGCATAAAATGTTATTAAAGATTAAAACAATATACATTTTAGGCCTATATGAAAATAATTTTATTGTGGTTACAAAATAGAATTTAAAAAAACAGAAAGAAATTGTGACCTCTTTTCGTGCGTTTTGGTAATTTAGTCTAACCCGACCTAATTTCACATCAATACGTACAATCAGGAAATGGTCTGTTTAATACATACATGCTCCTGCTATAGCATAAGGTGTTTAAAATGGCATGAAAGTTATTAAAATTAATTAAAACAACACTGCTACAAGTGAAAACATGGATGACCATTTACTTGTAATATGTACATGTATATTGAACTTGACATTTCACCGCGATGTCGATCGTGTAGATTCAATGTGAGATTTTGAGAACCGCAATGCATATGGTATACACCCTGTAAAATGTTTTATATATTTTCTTCCTTATAAATTTTATTTTAAAGTCTTATTGATTAGAAATTTGATTTCAAAGTAAGATATTCAAAACTGCAACAGTGAATTAAAAGCTTCCACCCCCTCTCTCTCTCCTCTCTTTCTCTCTCCCGAACGAAACTGACGAAGAATTCTTTCAACGAGAAAGAAAAAGACTTAGAAGTTTCCAGTTTTATTTTAACAGTTTCTATAATAAAGGAGGTTTTTATATATTTTTATAAATATCGTGAAATACCGGTATCTGATTTTCATATCGCGATATATTATCGTGGTGGATAATACCGCAATATACCGATATACCGGTAATATTGCACACCCCTAATGCATTGTTCCCAAGTTATGATCAAAAAAAGTTATTCGCAGAATGACAACATCTTGAATTAAAGAGAATGACCCAATGCAAATATATTGTTTTGGTATCAGCATTTTAAAGAAAATTATACTATGTAGATGTAATAAACTATTGCTGTCAAACAGGATCCCCCTCCAATAATGAAAATTTCCTTTTAAATTTCTAAATAATTTGATAATTTGGATAAAAAAGCAAACAACATGCCTTTTATAGTTGAAAGAAACAAGGCAATTGAACTGGAAATGCCGAACTGTTGATATGAAATACCAATAACAAGTTCATCATTCTGTGAAGGCCTTCAGGTCTGTGAATCACTCCAGCTAACTGATCAAAATCTGTGCTACCATTCAACATTGCCAGTTGAGCTGAGTAGGCGCGTTCATTAGTTAACACGTCCCCTCCAAAAACCTTTCTAGACAGTACAACTGGATTATCTCCTTCAGTATGAGGAATGAAGGTTTCATGTATGTATTGCAGTATACTTATCATATCCTCTGATTTGTTTTCACTTTTATCTAGTATATCAAGGATAGCATAGTCAGATTTTTGGGAACTTTCATGGATATGAGAATGTTCAATAAATTTGGGTAGACAACTAGCATACTTCTTGAGACAATTCACATTCTTGACAAGAACAAGAGCAATATGAAATATGAAGTGTTCCTCTAGAGATGAGCAGTCATCAACACTTGGAACAAAGACACTGTTATCTATTCGACAGATATCTCCTAATTGGTAATCATCAGCTAAAGCATCATTTATAATTCTCTTTCCTAAACCAACCAGTAGGAACCAATGCCAACTTTTGCGTCTTCGGTCAACACTCATTTGTGAGGGATTTCTGCTGATATCTATATTATCCCCTATGATATCACTAGACTGCACTGACACAGACGATGTTTTCATACCTGATTTCTCAATTTCCGCCCTCTCATGAAGCATCAGTTTCTCAATATGTTGCATCTGTCGCTTCAAAAGTTCTTGCTGTTGCTTTGCTGCAGAGGATGTTGACACACAGAGTCCCAGTTTATTTAGGGTGGCTATTGTCTGAAATATACATGTAATAAAATGTACCATATTTACTTAATTTTTTAAATTACATTTAAAATAAAATATATGAACATGCATGTACACACAATCTTCTTCATACCTGAGTATCATTAATCCCCCGTCCTTTAGATTGTCAAGAGTAAAACAGACTAATTAATATACTAAATATTGTGGTTTTTCATTCATTCAAATAATTCAATGAAATGAGGTACAATTCAGCTTTAACCAACCATTTTCAACTGAATAACTATTTTTTTTCTCAGCAATTTATATCGTTAAACATTATTGATACCTCATTTGTGGCACCACCTCGGTCCAGAACTTGAGTAATTATGTGATGCAAGGAAGACATGTGTTTGTTCCGAAAGTTTAACAACACAGCTGAGCCCACAGATGTTCCAACCTCTGAGTCCTTCACCAGTGTTGAAATAATTTTGTAAGTCAGAGGTGCTTGAGCTTGAAGTTCTTGATTAAAAAGATCCATGCTGAAATTGGCCAAGCTGTCACATTTAATTTGTCTCAAAATTGATTTGGTTTTAGTAGACACAAGGATGACATTTCCTTGTTGATATCTTTCAAAAGACATGCAAGTATGTGTGGCTTTAAACTTGAAGAATAAATAGTTCTTGCAAGTTTGTCTTTCGATGCCTTTGTCCTGTACGGAACCTCTGTAGAAGAATAATAAAGTAGCAACTATAGACTTTTAGCCATAAATTTGTCAAGAAGTATAGTTACACAGACTCATTTATTTACTCATTTATTAATTTTTTACTATTAAATTTATCCACTTTTGGGGGGGGGGGGTAAGAGGGAGGATGCTGCTGAAAATTTAATGTTATGTCCCTCTTAATAAGACTCTCTGTGTATAAATAAGTGCATTAGTCCCACTGTTTTATTTTAAACATGAATGATTTTATGTCCTACCTTTGAAGAAAAGAGTTCTTTCTTTGATTTCTTTTTAACTTCTTGCTCTCTCTCGTGAGCCTGTTGTTCTTTTCCTTGAACAGGCACAGGTGATTCAATCATGGGCTGAGGTTCCATTTCATTTGCACACGCTGCTGCAGAACCAGTCCGTTGTGGAGTCAAGGCTAGGGATCGTTTCGTTTTACGGGGGGTAGGAGAATGCACAATACATCGTTTCTTTGTTTTTGGCGTGAATACCGCAGATGATTTTGTGTTGTACTTTTCTCTGAGTGTCTTTAATAGGTCGATTCTTTCTTCTTTCAAAGCTTCGAGCTTTGTTTTCAAATCATACTCAATTTTGGACAGATTGTTAAGTTTATTCCAACAGAACCCACATACATACTTCCCCTTATCATCATTTGGTTGAGGAACGTGGTCAAGGACCTCGCACAGCTGATTAAACACCCCAAAAGTAACGCTGAATATTGTGCGTCTCTGTTTTTAGCTCTACTGGTCAGAGACCAGAAGAGCTTATACAATAGTTATGCGTCCGTCGTCCGTCCGTCTGTCTGTCTGTAAACAATTTTTCAAAATGCTATTCCTCCTACAGTTTTGGTCCGATTTCAATATAACTTGGCACACAAGTAGACTACACTAAGATACATAGTTTTGTGCATCGGTTTTTGATTTCGATGAACGGCGTTGCCGTGGTTACTAAAAATAGAAATATCTGTGAAATGTTTTCGAAATGCTACTTCCCTCACAGATTTGGTCCGATTTCAATATAACTTGGCACAAAAGTAGACTACACTAAGATACATAATTCTGTGCATCGGGTTTTGATTTCGATGAACGGTGTTGCCGTGGTTACTAAAAATAGAAATTTCTTTGAAATTCTTTCAAAATGCTACTCCTCCTACAGTTTTGGTCCAATTTCAATATTACTTGGCAAACAAGTAGACTTCACTAAAATACATAATTCTGTGCATCGGTTTTTGATTTCGATGAACGGTGTTGCCGTGGTTACTAAAAATAGAAATTTCTTTGAAATTCTTTCAAAATGCTACTCCTCATACAGATTTGGTCCGATTTCAGTATAACTTGGCACACAAGTAGACTACACTAAGATACATAATTCTGTGCATCGGTTTTTTATTTCGATAAACGGTGTTGCCGTGGTTACTAAAAATAGAAATTTCTGAGAAATTCTTTCAAAATGCTACTCCTCCTACAGTTTTGGTCTGATTTTGATATAACTTGGCAAACAAGTAAACTACACTAAGATACATAATTCTGTGCATCAGTTTTTGATTTCAATGAACAATGTTGCCCATGGTTACTAAAAATAGAAATTTCTGTGAAATTCTTTCAAAATGCTACTCCTCCTGCAGTTTTGGTCTGATTTCAGTATAACTTGGCACACAAGTAGACTATACTAAGATACATAATTCTGTGCATTGGTTTTTATTTTGATGAGTGGCAAGGATCATTTTTCTATTTATTGCTGATTTAAAGTCTCAAGTCCCAACTGCTACTTTTCTCTTCCTTTGTTTTAAGTATAAACCAGTAGAGCTACAGTCTCGACAGAGACTTATGGTTTGGTAAAATGCCATGGCATA